CTGGTACACAATTAAAAACATTTTATTTACTTAAATGTTTTTAATTGTGTACCAGTTTAACATTGAGTATTATTTATGATTTTAATTTTAAGAGTGGTTTTAACTGGGTGATTTTAATGGCCACCATTTTGTTTCATCATGATCCATATTATTTAGTACTACCATACTTAATGATAAATGTGTCTTAAATGAGCTGTGTAAGTAGCAAGCCTACCGTGTGTTTTTTTGTTTAAGGCAGAAATTTATTTTTTTGAATTACATCAATTTTTTTAATTCTAGCATTATACTTTATGTAAGGTGAAGTATAAAAGAGGTGATTTCTTTATTTTTATTTAGGTTTGTGCTCATACTTAATTGAACTGGAATAGCAGAAGACATAGTTGTGCAAATATGTTGTGTTTAAGGCATATAAAATATCCTTTCTTTAGATATTCAGGATTTCTGTTTTTGTTTTCTTATTTCATTATACTATATCCTTCCTTTAAGTTTTGTATAACTGGGATCCTATATATATATATATATATGTTATATTTATAACACAAAAGAATTATTATGACATCAAATGCACAAAAAGAAATGTTTTGCTTAACATTTTTCTATGTATTTGGTATTTGGATTTATCCAGTTTTGTAACTGGTTAACATAAATCTTATTACTCCATTATGTCTCATTTTTATGTTATATATGTGTTCTTATACAACTCAGATAAATATATAAAAATGCACACAAAAAATATACCTGCTAGTAACAGAGTGTCAGGGGCATAGCCAGCACTATGGTGTGTGTGTGTGTGTGGGGGGGGGGAGTCTATTTCTAAAAAATAACCTTTCGTTCTACTCTAAGGATTTAAATAATTAACATAATTCAAGCATTTATATAAAGAAAATTATAAGATAGTGGACCTTTTAAATTTATTAATATATTGGGGTATTCACCTCTTTCTCCTATAGCTGTGCTCCTGAGTGGTACACTCTAGTGCTTGGCTTGGATTTTAACAGTTATATTGTGTTCAAGCTCCTCTTTTGCTGGATATTATGGGAGAAGTGTACCAAAGTACAAGCACACAAGTGGGCTAAACATGTTGCTTTCATGTGGTTAAAACTTTTGAGGTTATATGATTCATTTTTGAGGCCTTTATCATAGTATATGCAACCAATTTTCCATTTTTCAAATCAGTGTTTACCAAACATTTTGATTATACACAAGATACTAGTTTCAAATGACGCTTACATGTTTATAAATATATTTTGTGTTAGTAAGAAAAACCTAGATTTTTGATGCCACTTGTAAACTTCCAAAAAAGAGGAAATATTTCCATTTAAGGAATTATCAAATTTTAAGTTTATATACAAACAGTCTTAATTAAAGAAAAAAAAAGGAAACAAGCTTGAGTAAATTTTAAATTTAATAATGCAGTTGTAGTGTAAACCTGATGTTAAAGTTAAAACTTGAAAACTATCTGACAGTTTTAATCACTAATATTTAGTGTAGTTTATGTTCCTTTTAATTCTGTGTTTGATCATTGTTTTTTATTTATTTATTTTAGTATATTGAATTCGCTAGTGATTGTCCTGTTCCTGACTGGCATGGTTGCTATGATTCTTCTTCGTACTCTACATAAAGATATTGCTCGCTATAATCAGATAGACTCTGGGGTAGGTACATGTGCTTAGATGAAAGATCATTAAGTTTAATCAAAGAATACTAATGATTATTTTCTCATCCCTTAATGTTGGGTTATATAAAGTAAATGGATATTAGAATATAATGTAGTAGTTTTCCATCACAAATCGTTCTTAAAAATATAAGAACTTGTAATATATCTGTATATGAGATATTAAAGCAGCATTTCTAAAGGCATACAGGTACACAGTTTTTAATTTGAGATTGAAGGAAAACAAAAGAATTTATGTCAATCCTAAAAAGTGCAACATTCGGTATTGCTATAACATAGTGTGTAGTGGCAAGTAATGAATACTTTTCCCTATAAGTTTATTACTTTGCTGCCATGATATCAAAAGATATTTCATTAAATTTCATCATATTTAATCTTAAAGATTTTGTTTATTTTTTTCAAAAATATTAAACTTCTATTTCAACTCCTTGACTCTAGCAACATTGTTTATTCCCTGTGCTTATCATAGTTTAAACCCATTAAAACAGGTGGTTTATGTTTTCACCAGAAAATCTTGTGCATTGTGATAAGATATTCATAAATCTTTTAAGACACTCAAGAATTGCTTGCACATCTTTAGATCTACTGTTCTAACTTATATAATTTATTCATGCAGCATACACTTTTCTGACATCCAATCAGTGTTTAAAATGTATTTGGGATAAACCTTGTGGCTTTTCTGATATTTGCTGATTTGGTTTTTTTGGGATGATGAGGGAAGCTTCTTAATGATAAAGTCATTATCTACGCAACACATAATCACAAGAAATCTGAAGGTTTTCTCTGGGATGCTTTATATGCATAGCAAAGAGCATTTCATTTGTGTGGAGATATAGAGAAAGGAGGATAGATACTTTAGATTCTGTGGCACAACACAGTGGAAGGGTCACTGTTTTCAGAATGAAGAGAGATTTCTATGAAAGTTTGAAAGTATCTTTTACACCATGGTTGCTGTTAATTTTAAATTATATTTACTAACTTCCCCTTTAAAAGTGCACTGTAAGTAATGTAATTTTCAGAAATTGATGTGTAATTATGGAACTCAGTTTTGAAAACAAATTTCATTTTTTGAAGACTTTAGATTAAATCTTTTGATATGTATGTAGGATGATGCCCAGGAAGAGTTTGGCTGGAAGCTAGTGCATGGTGATGTTTTTCGTCCTCCTAGGAAAGGAATGCTTCTTTCTGTATTCCTAGGCAGTGGAGTTCAGGTGTTCTTCATGACACTTATTACTTTATGTATGTATTCCCATATTACAAATTTGATTCTGAATCAAAGATGTAGAAGTTGTATTGGTTTGGTGAAAGTACTGAAGAGACTATGAACATTTATGTATGTGTATATATGTGTATTTTAATTTTAAAAATAATTTGTAAAAGTCGCATAATACTTAGACATCTAAATCAAACTAAAAATTATTTAAAGAGTCAGAGAATCTTTTGTTCGTATGTGTGTGTGTGTGTGTGTGGTTAGTTAAGATCTTAAAAAAAGTAATGATATTATTGATCAATAGTGTTACCACATTCTACAATATAATTTTATAACTATAGTGAAAATTTTATCATGTTGTGGAAACTGTTACTATTTATTATTTGGGGAGGAGAATTTTCCACATATTATGTGGATTTCCAGACTTTTTAGTATTGTTCTGGGTTGTTAACTAGATTTGAAATAATCCAAGGAGAATGTCTGGGGGTGGGGGAGTTATACTTTATTGCCTGTTTTATCATTCAAATAATGCTCTGAAAAATAATATATACTCAAGTACTCAAAGTTGAGCTTTCGTGAACAAGTGCCGATATATTTCAGCCACATATAACAAGAATGTATTCTTTGAGTTTAGATATTTTTCATATAACTCCCACTACTTTGGACCAATTTGAATGTAGTAAGTATGTTTCCCTGAACTTACAAAATGGCATGTTTACAGTATGGATTATCCACAGGAAAAATTTATTGAAAATTTGCATGTTTAATTTAAAGATAGACTGAAATTTTAAAATGGCAAAGGTTATGTGACATGAGGAAGTCAGATTTAGAGAAGTTAATAGTTTGATGATCAGAGTAACCACAAGCAGTGAAGTCTAAACTGGGATAATTTATTAAAATGTTTGATTTATCAGGAAAAGCTTTATGCATAAAATGAACTTACAAATTGTGCTTCACAGAGCTGCTCTCCAGTAAGCACATAAAACTGTCAAATGACTGATAAAACTTAATTAAAATTTAAGGGTATAATATATATCAAGTATATGGAAAATAAGATGGAGAATGAACCAACATTGGAATCAAAATATTTAAAAATTAGTCAGTATAAAGATTTATCCTATAAAAAGGTTACATGTGAAAAGCATAAGGATAATATAGGTGAACTGATCCTGTTTTTACATTTTCAGTAGATGATAATATTTTCAATATTTGAAGTACCAGTTGTTGTTGCACATAGTTCAGAGTTTTTGAAATCATGCATAAGTATTTTAAGATTATAGATGATTTTCTAAACTGATGAACATTTTGTTCCTAAATAACAATTTCTACCTGCTAATGGACCTGTGAATAAGAATTGAGAACCTGCATTAGTTATTGAAAAATATTTTGCTAAAGCTTTGAGACTACCAGCTTTATTCTCATATATCAGAGTTGTCATAGATTATATGAAGTAACTTATGTTTTTATTTATTGTAGCTTTAGTTTTAAAATACCAGTTTTTACTTCATAATTCATTATTGATTTGAATGGGCATTAAGACCATTGGTATAGTAATTTATTCTAGTCCCAAGGCTCAAACTGTATTTGTCATAAATCAAGATTTCACAAAACATCAGTGTGTAGTGTAGTAGAACAGTTTTTGGTATGAAAATTGTATTTTACCTGTGTGTGTATGGTGTTGACCTAAGTCATTTCGCTACATAATCAAGACACATGGTAGTGTGTCGTGCAGCCAAAACAACCTGCAGGACACACTGTGGGTTATTAACAGGAGTGATAGTTTAGCAATATTCCACTATTTGTAGCTCAGACTATGGTAATTCAAACTATCACATATTTTCAATGGATGTGCTCTACTGGACCCTTACTTCACATACCAAATTTCAATGGAATCCATTAAGAAATACACGAGATAGAAAATCTCCAATTTTGATTGAATTTCTTCCTTTTTTTTCTTTGCACTGAAAGTATGGAAACTTTATATGATAGAAAAACATACATAACTTTCATGGATTTTTTTCAACTTTAGTGCACTAAAACCTGCAATTAAACTTGTATAATTAAAAAAGTATAAGCCACATGTGCAATGTTATTCCACAAAAACTGCTCAATTTTGACCAAAATTTATGCACACGCATGTCACGTGATCTGTCAGTCTAAAATTCTTACTATAGCTTCACCTAAGAGTTAATGTGGACCATTTTTAGTTTTTTATCGTTCAGATTAAAGATGGCTGATTTAGAGCAGCAAAAGTATAGGGTGAAAGTACATGCAGATACATAAGCATTGGTTAGGCCAAGCAAACTAGATTAGCAGTTTCTAGCTCAAGTTTTCAAAAGAATCATATGAGTGGACAGTTAGTAGTCATTATTTATTGCCAACTTTTAAGAACAAACTTGCTAAATTTTATGAAATTCTCCTAACTAAAGAGCATTTATCATCACATAATATTAGCTTAAGCAATTAGCATGAATAATGATGCTTGATACAGTTGTAACAAGTGCATGTGGGTGAGGACAAGAAACTGTTTTTTATCTAGTTTCCATGGCATTACTATAAAGGAAGTTATTAAAACTATTTTAGAGAGAAAACTACCACCATATATTTTATAGAATCTGGTTGGTTCTGTAAAGTATAGGTCTGTTTGAATAATAGGGTTGCGAATCTAAAGCTAATGTTGACTACTATCGAGTGTCACTTTCTTACTTGCTGTGGTTTATTGATGTGTATTGACAAAAAGTCATGATATCTAATCAAAAGCACCTTAATGTGAAAAATGGTGTGGACAAAAATCAATTGAATGTGTGACTTAAAGGAAAGAAATCAAAATTGGTGGCCAAACTGGTAGCTAGACTTATAGCATTGATAAGAATTTTACAGCAAATATCCATTCAGTAGTTAGCTAGGTTGCATATTTTGTTTTACCTACCATCATGCTTCAAGTCGAACAAAAAACGTGACCTGGTTAACTAATTAAATAATATTTCTAGTAAAATTCTTATCAATGCTATAAGTTTAGCTACTAGTTTGGCTACCAATTTTGATTTCATTCCTTTAAGTTGCACGCTCGATCCTTTTTTGGCTTCACCTTTTTTTTTTTCACACCTAAGGTGTTTTTTTTTATTAGATCTATGTAAGAGCAATAGGAATTGTTGTTGCTAAATGTTTTGTTTATGTCCATGCTTTAAATTTCCTTGTTAAGCAAGTCAAATGCTAATGTTATGATAGGTACTTTAATAAAAAAAAACAAGTATATGTACCCATGTACATTGAAATGTTTATCTGTTTTGAGTAATTGAGAGGTAAATGATTATTCTTCAACTTCTTCTTCTACAGTTAAATCATCAAGTAATTATTATTTCATGGTATTGTTGATGAATGGGGCTTTTTTCTTCCTCCAGTTTTTGCCTGTCTTGGTTTTTTGTCTCCTGCTAACAGAGGAGCTTTAATGACTTGTGCAATGGTGAGTTATTCAATGATATGTAAATTTCTTGTAATTATATATTGATTTATTTGAAAAACTAGTGTTGGATTTAACATATGCTGTTATAAAATTTCCATCAATTTCATATAGTGTGCTTTTCATGCATTAAACATCAGTTGTGAGTTAACTTTGAAAACTGGATTCCCTTATGTGTTTTTCATATTAACTTTCTATATGGTATCATATAATGTTTATAGTTTTGTGCATTAGTATACATAAAATTATAAAGTTTCCCTATGTATGGCTCATGCCTAGACATAATCCAGCAATTTCAGGTTTCTAATAGCATTTGGGTGGAAGGGAGTTTGGGATAATAAAGGCTCATGGGCAAAACAGAAAAGACTAATTCTTTGATTTTTTCCTATGTGGCATGAAAAACATATCACCAGGGATGGATGGTAAAGTAAGGTATAACTTCATGTATTTGTGTAGTCTTTTCCAATTAATGTTAATTTGGTTTTAATTTATTTGAATATCTCTAGAGTACATTTCATGTTCAACATCTTCCAAGTTAAAATAAATTATTTGAAACTTCCTGTAGTTTGCAAGAACTAAATTCAGTTATTTCTGGTTTGTAGAAATACTGCATATCATATTCAAAATACAAGTAAAATACATATTAACTTTTTAGGTCTTTCAAAATCTACTTCTTTCTTACTTGTATTTATTATTATTATTAATTAATAAGTACTTATTCTTTTTTTAATGTCTTTTATAAGAAATTTCCACATACAACTATTCATTAAGTACGTAGATGTATATAAAAGTTTGTTATTACAAAACCATTCCTCAAACAAATGCGTACTTGACTCCCATTTCATAGTTTTTAATAATTAATTTTAACTGTTGTAAGTTACAAATTTCCTGTAACATTGCATATCTTGGGTGGTGGATGGTGAAATGGAACGTCATGAATTGTAAAAAGTTATTGAGTTATTAAATGTAGTTTGTTATCTCAAAGTGGAGTGTAAAATATAATTTATCCTAATAGTTCTTTTTAAATTTCCCATTGAGATATAAACAACAGAAATAATTAATATGTTGTTCGATTAGAAATTTGTTCATAAACAATTTGGAAATATGGTGAAATAAATGTATATTAGGCAATTTATTGCAGATTGGCAAAACTACTTTGCTATGCAGAATTATCACTGGATAAGATAGTGGTCCATGATTTCTTTAGATAACGAATGAAAATGTACAGAGAACCACTGGATAAAAGCTGCTGTTATCTACAACTATCTAATGACACCATATTTGCTTTATAAGTAATCCAGTTTTGTTCAAGCTTAAAATTAGTCATACATAAATTATTCACCACACTACAATTAAACAAGTTATAAAAAAAGGGGAAGAGCCATCAGTAATAGTTAATAAATGTTGGTGCTCAGGATAATGCTGTTTTTTTTTAGACTAGCAATCTTGTTTCTGTATTCTCTGCAATTAAATTAATAGTAATATATATATATTGCATAAATAAAATAAGTTTATCTCTTTCTGTATGATATAATCGTAGGAAACCTTCAAGAATGAGTTGCATGTGTGTAGTTTTATTCATACCAAACTGTAATGAGCTGTAGGAAATAATATAAAGTCTCACTTGAACTAATAGGGGACACATTTTCAACAAGTAACTTGTACCAGTTAGTTTGATCTTACTTTATTTTTTGGGTTGTTTCCCTACAACATGATTAGTTACTCTGTATCCTTTGCATGTGCACAAGGATATATTATTACATCTCTTTGATTGCAATTAAGGAGGAAGTCTAAAATTTCTCATGAACTAAACAGAATGCATATGAGAAATTTGAAAGTCATGTACAGATAGCTTCTTTTAACAAGAACTAATTATACTAACACATGAGAAGGTATTTGATGAGCTTTTAATAAAGTGACACATGTATTCTGACACTTGGGTGAAATCTCATCTTATCTTGCATAAATTAAAAGAATAAGGAAGGAGGAGGTAAGAAATAATGAGGTTCAGGGAACCACAATGTATAAGATAGGTGGCGAGTTACATAGCTACAAATTATGTTTAATCTTTCATTTTGTTTTATACCAGATATTAGTATGTAAAAAGATATGTTACAAATTCTCTATTTTATTTCATGTTTATTTTTTGCAGGTTTTGTACGTGTGTCTAGGCACTCCGGCAGGATATATTTCTGCAAGAATTTATAAAAGTATAATAGCAATTTTTTCCATTTAGTGTATTTTTTGTAGTTTAATTATTAATTTTTTAAATTATTAATTATTAATCATTAATTTTCTAGTAATGAACAAAAAAAACCTACAGTTTTAAATATGTTTGTGATCAAATTGAGGGAATTAGCTAAGCATTTGATGATTTTTTTTCTGTTTCCATTTGACAGGATGTATTTTACATGCATAATAATTCTAATTTTATTGATTACGTATTTCACTGTTATAACTGTAAACTGATAAATTTTAGTTAGTACTGTTTTTTACGTTTAAACACAGTTTTATTTTTGAAAAAAACTGCATTTCTGTAGAGTTGGTTCGTATAACAATAATTATCTACTGAGATTCTATGTGGACTGATAAGAGCTGACATAAAATTATTAATTTATTTTTATTTTTTAAGTTTTGAAAATTAAGTAAGTCAAGAATATCAATAAATGATTCATAACTAAATTGTTGATTTGAAATTTAACTTTTAGAAAGCTCAAGTTTGACCTGAGATTGAATTATATGTAAGATTTGGTCTAATATTAAACTATTATTTAAAAACCAGAAATCATTAGCAGTATGTTGCCTTTTTTTTAACCAGTTAATACATTTTCATTGATAATTTCACTAAATGAAATAAAAGTCATATGCATACTTTTACTAACACCTTGAAACATGTAAGTATTATTTATTTCATTGACTTCATTCTGTGGAATCACTATCTTGCAACTGAAAATAAAATTAGTTCTAAAATAGTGTCAATAACTTCATAAGAAAATGTCTCTTGTCTTGTAGGTTTTAATGGTGGGAAATGGAAGTCTAATGTCCTGTTGACATCACTTCTCTGTCCAGGGTAAACATAAGTTACTTTGCTGTATAAAAAAGTACTTTATTGAATAGAGTAAATTTACTTCTTTGTCCAGTGCTAATTGTAATTTTTTTAAGTAAACAATTTCTTATTTCTTTTCACTTTAATTAACATACTTGTCCCTCTGTCTAGACTAAGTATAAATTACCTTATTAGCAGACAGTTTTTTGCATTAATAAAAATCATGTTCACTGCTCACTTTCTTTGTTAAATAGACTATTTTTTGTTGAGAAAAGTTATTCACATTTCTCTGTCCATAGTGAATATAAATTACTTTGTTAAGTATATTTCTGTATTTGCTATATTCATTAATAAAGAACATGCTTTTTTTTAATACTAAAGATACATATAAATTACTTTCTTGAATAAACCGGTTTCACCAACAAGAGAAGTTTGTGTTATATGGTTGTTGTTCATAGAGTTGTACGTAAAAGGACTTTTTTTTTAGAAAAGTACAATCATTACATTTGTTTGTTAAAATGATGGAAAAGTAGTTATAGGAACAAACCATCTGCATCAAATTGACAGCAGCATATCTACCACTATTTAAATTGTTGGACAAGAATAATGACTTTTATTTTACTTTTATTGAAACTCAGTATCAGGATCTAATGAAAATATCTAACTCATTTGAATATAATGATTAAATTTATTTATTAAAAGACATGCAGCTTTCACAACAGAGACTGTTAAAATATTTGTAATTAAAATGTATTACTTTGAATAAATATAGTGGCTTTCTGATGCCGTATGAAGTTCAACTATTGAATAACAAAATATAATCAAAGATTATCATTGTGTAACATTTTTTTATTTAGACTGGTATTTGGTTTGTTCTTCATCATGAATCTTATCCTGTGGGCAAAGGGAAGCTCTGCTGCAGTCCCATTCACCACTCTGCTTGCTTTGTTGGCTCTTTGGTTTGGAATTTCTCTGCCTCTCACCTTTGTTGGTGCTTATTTTGGTTTTAAGAAAAGAGTAAGTTTTTGTTCAGTTTGTTTAAAAACTAAAAAAAAATTAAGTACATTTCTTCTTCTAACTGATATTGTGTATATTGTGAAAGCAATATTTTTTTCAGATGGTAGAGTGAATAAAATATTGTTAAAAGGTTTTAAGATGACCACTGGTAGTATTAACAAACCTTTTACCCTCCTGAAAATGTAAGCATTTTTTGTAAACAAAATTGAATTAATCCTTGAAACCTGAGAAATCAAATTAAAATTAACATAATTGGGTTTTAAACATCTTAATAACAAGGTTTATAGAGTTTGCAGTAATTATTATGTTTTATCCAGCAAAAAGTAGTTTACAGATTGCTCTTAAACTATATGAATTAGCCATTTTTTAGTGCAAAAATGCATAAACATTCTGTAGTCTGTACATTAATAGAAACTGTATCGAAGAAAAAGGAGCCAATATGTACTTACCTCTTCTAACACAAAGTTATCTCGATCTTCGTTCTGCCATCTAAAATTTTCATGCTCAATGCAGCTGTTTATATACCCAATCAATTTCTTGCCATTTTTTGAACATGTACATATCATGTGACTGCTCTCCACCAACAGTATTGCACCACCTATATTGATGCAGCTATTCCCACTCAATCCTTACTTTCTCGATTGGCACAGCTTTGTTCAGACGTGTGTTTTTTTTTGCATGTGGCTACCATTTATGATTGTGCTCATTTGCTAGTTAAATTTTTTTTCAACAGTTTTACTGTGTTTGCATTCAATTGTATTTTTTTTTGCATTTATTTTTTGTAACCGAATTATACCAGAACTTTGTATGAATTTGCAACTCAATGTATCGACTTTATCTGCAGAGGAGGTATAAGGCTTTAATTTTCAGGGAGCTAGATTTGCCAGCAATTTCTTTCCCTTTTTAACCTGACAATGTTGCTGAGGAAGAATACAATCAAGGAGAAGACAATTTGGACTCTCATTTTCTGGCATCTTCTTATTTAGATCTGTCACACTCAACACCTCTTCAGGAGATTTCACCTTCCACACCCTTTTTTACAGCTGGTTACTCAGGTCAACACATATTCAGTTTTTTCTGTATGTTTGAGATGAGGCTGATTTTGCTAGTTTTCTCTTTCCTGCTACTATTGCTGTGCCTCTACATTGTTCACTTTAGTGGAGATTTGTTCTTCCTATTGCTTCCAGATCTCCCAGTGGATCAGTGGTAAGTTTTTGACTTGTACACTTCACAACTGGTTTTGATACCCTTGGTAGGTGTGGCTCAGATGCCCTTTGTGTGGCTTTATCTTTCTTTATACACGGAAGAATTAAGTATTTCATGTCAACAGTGCTCAGACTTTCGTAAGTTAGATATTTATGTGTTTTTGTCGTCTAAGTTAATTTAAATTTATTGCAAGTTAGATATTAATTGTTACTTTGTTTTATAGGTAATTTTAGTCGGTTTACATGTTTGTTATTATTGTGTATTTTGTAGACCAGGTAAATTTTAATGTTTTGTCAGTTCAATATTAATGAGTACTTTGTCAACTAGGTATGTTTAAATATTCTGTACTTTACATATCATTCCTACTAGTAACATCTAATTCATTGTTCTATTTTAATTTTTTTTTGTCATTGTTAACTTTGTGCCTCATAATCCCAAGTTGTGTTAGTGTAGGACTTAATTTTTTGCATTGCTACATCGCTGATGTGATTGTTTTTTACCCGTTGATGCGGCTGAGCTTTGCTTCGGCTATGTTTCTTACGTTTGTGATACTAGAATCCAATTTTTCTCTTTGTACTCTACATTTCGGAGTTCATCCCCATAGTACCCACATCATTGATAGTTATTTATAGCTAGAAGTCGAGTGTTCCAGTTTAGGATCATACAGTTTGGACTAACCTCGGCTCCTTATGTGTTTTGTCAGGTGGTAAAAACTGTTGCCTGACATCTTCACTTGATGGGACTTTGCACTCCTCATTACATGGAATATTGGCTTATGCTCGCTTCATCCCATTCACAGTCCAGAGGCCACACTTGTCTGCTCCTACAAGAAGCAGCATGGGTGGGATTCCTGATAAAGGTGGAGAGGTCCATTCTTACCCCCACTCAATACCTTGTTCATTTGGGGTTATCTTCAATTCCAGCATCAGTCAGGACCAGCCTTCTCTTTGTATTTGGGATATAGAACAAATAGTGCACAAGACCCTCACCTCACATTCTCTCACACTTCGAGAGGTTTTATCTCTTTTGGGGATGTGGGCTTCCTTGGAGCTCATAAGTGTTCCCTTCAGTGGAAACTCCTTGATCAATGGAACTTCTACTCAGATCCCTTGGACCACCCTTTTACCCTTCCTTTGCCAATCGGGGCCAACCTGGCTTGGTGACCAGACCATGGCAGGGGTTCTGCTTCCTACACTTTGTCTGGATTTACATCTGTTCACAGATGTATCTTCAGAGGGTTGGGGTGCTTACCTAGACACTCGGGAGATTTCTAGTCTCTGGTCAGTCGAGGAGTCTTCTCTCCATATCAACATTCTCAAACTTATGGTGGTTTGTTGAGCTTTGTCCCACTTTCTTCCTTTTCTGCAGGGGAGGATGGTTATGGTACACTCTAACAACTTCACAATGATCACTTATATCACCAAGCAAGGGGGTTACCAAACCCAGGTCTCTTTGCTTTCAGACCTTGGATCTTCTTTTCTGGGCCCACAGTATCACATGGTGGTCTTAGCTTGCCATGTTCCAGGTGTCCTGAATCTGATTGTGGATTGTTTATCTTGACCCAACAAGATTTTCCTCACAGAGTGGTCCCTTGATCCACAGGTCTTTTTGTGAGTGTGTTCTCAGCTGGAAACACCTCATATTAATGCTTTCACCAACCACTGGAATACCAAACTTCCTTCCTTTTGATCTTCCGTTCCATACCCTATCTCTGGGAGTGGGCATATTCAGTCAAGATTGGAGGGGTTATCACATCTACGCTTACCCTCTTATTTGACTCCTTTCCAGAGTTCTATCCTTAATCCAAACCATTCTGTGTCTAGTCCTACTTGTGGCTTTGTATTGGCATGTGCAACCATACTTCCCTCTGCTCTAACCTTTATTTGTACAACCTCCCCCTACCCTTACCTCTATCTGGGTCTCAAGTCAATCAACTTCAGTCGGACATTGTTCATCCAGACGTTACCACACTCTGTTTTCACACATGGCTTTTGTCAGGTCCATTGCTTCAACCCAGGGACTGACCCAACATGTTGGATCTTTCCTTTCCCACTCCATCAGATCTTCTTCCATGTCCATTTACCAAAGACAGTGGTATACCTTCCACCTTTGGTCTATTCAACATGGCTTCTGTCCTTTCCACCCTTCCATTCCTAATATTTCCCAATTCTTTACCTGGATGTTTGACAAAGGCTTGTTTTCTTCCATTCTGTCTATTGGGCACCCTTATTGAACACCTTCCATTTCTCCAAGTTTTGTAAGGTTTTGTCTTCCCCTGTTAATTCCCTCCTTTTCTGATTCTTTCAAGTCATGCATCCTCCATTTTCCTTTGATTTGCCTGATTGGGATCTCAGTGTGGTCCTTTATGTCCTTTCCTGTCCCACCCTTTGAATCTTTGTATGTGTGTTCCATGTACCATCTCTCCCTCAAGACCTATTTCCTTCTCCTTCTTGCTTGTGGATGTTGTCGATCAGATATTTATGCCATTAACTTTACCTACATCCTCAACCATTCCTCTTCTGTCCTATTATATCTCAAGCTGTCCTTCTTCCCTAAGACTTATGCTACCCAAGAAGGTGGTTTGGCTTTCACACCCATTTTGTTACCTACCATCTCCCACCTGTATTCCATTCAGATCCTGATTGGCTTCTTTGTCCAGTTCGCTCCTTATGGTGATATGTGGCACATACTGCCTCCTTTCAAGGTTCACGTTCTTGACTCTTTATTTCCTGGAAGCCTTCCTTTTCTTGTGATCTATCCCATTCATGCTAACTGGTTGGGTTTGCTAACTTGTTAGGCTGGCATATTTGGACTCATCCATGGAAGGTCACCATCTCCATGATGTTCCTTCTCATCAAATTCATCATATTACCATGTCTTTGGCTGCTCGCCTTCACTGTCCTTTGGAGGAGATCATTCAGGCCAGAATGTGAACTACTTCCAGTATCTTCATTGTTCATTATCTGCATGATCTGGTTGTGTCTTCCTCAGGTGGATATTGTCTCCCTCCCATGGATATTCTACACATGTCCATTTGTCTTTGCCCGGGATATGTCTTATCACTTCCTTTCATTTAAGTTTTTATTTTCAACAACCCTCAGTTTTACCACTGATAATGGTATCCCATTTTGTGGCAGCCATTGCCTGGTCAGGTATGCTTTGCCTCAAACCCGCACTATTTATTGATTCCACTATAATGCTCACTGTAGAAATGAAATGTTCAGCAAGACCACTGATAGCATACTCAACAGTATAACATAGTCTCTAGATATCAGTAAGTTTCACTCAGTAAAGAGTAAAGCAGACACACATTGCATTTTTTGCAGTGTGACATTCCTCTGGACTTCCCACTGTTTACTTCCGTGTTTTTTTTTCTTCCAGTAAAGCACGGGAGTTATTACCAGTTCCCAGTTGCTGGGATGGTGGACCAGGGAGGTTTCCTTCTTAGTGAGATTGGAAATTTGATTTACCTTACATACTCACAATTATACACTCAGTGAGAAGAGGGCAAAGCTGGTTTCCCTTCTTCCATTTTACCTGAATTTTTTCACAGATGGACAGCTGTCAGTTGGAGCAGGTCCAAACTGTGCTGGTTTGGGATGACACTGTTGTGTGCAGTAGAGGCCCCTTTTCTCACTAATTCTGGTTGCAGGAGGTTCTTTCCTTGCTCCTATCGTTGAGTTTGGGGGAATTTTGTCAGCCTCATAATACTGGCAATAGGATGTATGTACATTGTTCCTATGGTTGAGCGAATGCTCCATGTCGTCCTCATAATTCCAAATGCAGGATGTCTCTTCCATGCATTTACATTTAGTGATTTATAATTTCTGCTTGTAATACTAGTTACAGATATCACTCTGTTCTTACAATTGAGTTGAGCAATGCTACAACCCTGTAATGCCAGGTTTGGTTTGTTATACTTCTTGCTCCTACAGTGGCTTTGGGAGTTTGTCTGGTTTTGGCCAAAAGCTAATTTCCTCTTTATAATTCCGGTTGCTTGATGTATGACACTCTGTTTATTTACTGTTAGGGTTGATGAGTATATGTAACACAGTTCACATGCCCTAGCTATTATGTTTATGATACAATATTATTGTTTTTATTGTTTTTGGACCTCAACCTCCCAGTGCTGAGGACGAGTTATGGAACCTTGTCTATCCGGTTGAGGTTGTGTATGTACATAGCTAAGTTGGTTTATATTTTACTATGAATTGCATCTCTCAGAACAAATTGCACTTGTGACATTGTTTTTTCCACCACTATCAGATTCATTTCATACTTCAATGGTGAAGAGCATATGTGTTCTATAAGTAGGGTGGTACCTCACAAGTGTGCTTCGTTTTCATCTCAGAGCACACCCATTCATTCTGTCCAGTCGCTTTCCTCTTGGTTTCAATGTTATGTGCCTAAACTGGCCTCTCTACCTTTGCAGTATGGGATTTTAGCTTTGTGTAAGAGAAGGTAAAACTGTATCAGAAGTTCACATTTTTCTTACACAGAAAATGTAATTTAGATAGCTACTTATCTCCTCTCAGACCCTTCCTCCCTTCTGCTGGTGTTCTTCTTTTAGAGCCTGCCAATTCTAGAAAGTGAAGATTGTGAGGGAATAGCAGAGGGAGCTGGCTGTGCTAGTATAGGTGGTGCAATACTTTTGGTGGAGAGTAGTCACATGATATGTACACGTTCAGAAATGGTGTGAAATTGATGGAGCATATAGACTGGTGTACTGAGTGCAAAAATTTTTTAGCAATGCTTAAGAGGACAAAAAGAAGATTGAGATAGCTTTGTTTGAGAATTGGTAAGTACCTATTAGAAATACATTTTCAGTGTAAGAAAATGTTAACTTTTATGTATTAGAATTAAAAAAAAAACATGGTTTTATACTAACACAAATATGCTGTTGTGCTTTTAAACACTGAAAGCCAGTGAAGTATTAAATGGAAATAGCAGATCTAATATTATTGAGAAAAATCACACTAGACTGCAGAAAATGTTTCAACATTCCACTTAATATGCCTGTTACAGATTTCAAATCATGGACATGAAAACTTGCATTTTAAGTCAGTTTTTGTTTGCCACACATCAATACCCAGGAAGCCTTTTGTTTAGTACCTGTAATATGAACCTGTAATATGGCATGTTTTGCACTGCAGGTAAAATAGCATTTTGAATACTGCCATCATGTCCATCTCAGCTGATGAGTTTGGTATTGAATGAAAGACTTCCTGGCCAATGACACCTATCAGATAAAAAGTAAATTTAAAGTGGTATTTTTACATTGTTTTGATTTAAAACATGTAATGAACTGATTAAGAGGAACGTGGTAAAAAAACAAATACAGTTCTGTACACATAGCATGTTTTAAGGCAAAGTATTTATGATATATTTTGATTGTATTTTAAGCACTAAAGTATGCTATTCATTGGATATCCATGATATGAATTAATTATGTCAGCCTTGGAGATTCTGGTAAATAATGCATATGTATGTTGATAATGGTATGCATCAGTTGACTTCATTAGTATGTGCATAGATAAGTAGATAAGTGTTTTTTTTCGTTAAACTTGTAGTGTTTTTAACACACGAGTTGTTCAGATACATTAAAAGAGTGAACAATGATACTAGTAATAGATATTTTAAGCCTATGAACAATCTAGGAAACATTAAGATTATAATTGTTTTCAAAAACAACAATTTTTTTTTATTGACAAAAGATTATAAGTTACTTAATTGTGACAAGCAAGCTATAAAACTTATGGTTTATAATGCATAAGCTGATGAAACATGATTAGCTTACCTACTGTAATACTTCTTAGTTTTATACTATATATTTTACAGCACTGAGGACAATTTCAATAAATATGATGTTATTTATTTTATATACTTTTCTTTACATAAAATTTAAAATTTGGAACTTTATGTACCACCCATGAATGTGATACTGTTCATCACATAAAAGCCTCATGTTATGATCTATGTAATGATTAATTATACTTATTCTTATTAAGAAACTTGCAACCTGATTAGTTTAATTCTGATCAGAATTTTAGTTTAATAGAAGTAATTTCATGAAAACATTTTGATCAGTATTTTCTTATAGAAATTTACCACTTACTGCTTGAAATTCTGCTTATGTTTTTCTAGTTATAATCAATAATGTAGTAAATGTTAATTCATTATTTCAAACTGTGCACTTAATTTCTAGGCTATTGCAATGGATAAGACTTCAGAAATCATAAAGTAGTTATACCTAGATATTTTTTTCAATACATCTTACCTCTTTTTCACAGAATAGCTTTCCCAAATTGAACTACCCTCTATATAGATCTTCATAGATCACGTCGAAACATATACTTGTAGAGAGATATTTTAAAGTGGAAGCCGTATGGCTTCAATAAAGTTTTTATTGTGTAAATATAAAACGTTGTTTTTAATTATTTATTATAATTAAAAAATATATATATATATATATATATAT